CCTTCCTTCATTTGGATTCCTTCTTTTGTTTTAAAAATGGGGGAAAAAGAAACGTGGCACGTAGATATGGATTAATAGCGTTATTTTTAGGAACGGACTACAAAGTCTCGAAGGGTGGGGGCGATCCTCTGCATTCGCATCCTGGCGTTGATCGGCGGATGCTCATTACCAAAGGGGTGTCCATCCAGGCGAGTGCTCACCTGTTGACGGGCGCGCTCTCGTGGTTGCCGAGCGCGGGAAAGATGGGCACCCCCGGGAAGGCCTTTCCCAGCTGCGCCACCGTCTCCTTCAGCACGGCGATGTTCTCCTCCCGCGTCTGGTTCCACACGTCGTGCGGCGGCAGGTCGCCCGTCCACAGGATGTAGTCGATGTCCTGAGGGCAGAAGGGCGGCCGTGACCCCAGGGGAAAGGACGAGCTTTGCGCGTCTACAAGAAGGGAAGCCCAGGAACCAGTAGGGGGCGCATGGGAGTTTCAAGGGAGAGGGGGTGATATAATAAATATCGAAAAAGCTCTTAAACTAAAAAAAAATAATCAAATATTCCTTTCACTTTCTTGTACATACACACAGAGTTAACGTAGAAAAAAATATTTCATTAAAAGTGATATGAAAAAAAATTATAAACAAATTATTAACAAAAAACAAAAAGTGATGTGAAAAAAAAAACAACATAAAAACACCCAAATCAAAGGGATATGTACAGCGGCAAAGATTTTAAAAAAAACTTTTAAGTACTTTTCATTTTTAGATGAGCTTTAAACTTCTATAAATTGCCATTTTCGTTTTCAGTGACATTAGTGAAAAAAATTATCTTTTTCTAGCAATGCTCTCCTTACTGCCTCGCAAAATAAGCTTTTGCAAAGGATAAAGCTGAAAACTAAAGGTTTCAATAAAAAGTTATATAGTACCATATAATTATAGCACCACCCGTGTCATAAGTTTAAAGCAAAAAATATTTTTCGAGCGTTTTTAGAAAATCTTGTTTTTCTTTATTATTCAAATTAACGCGAAACTACGTATCATTTGTTTAAAAATTGAACATGAAATCATGTAAAGTTATTATATTGTCATATTCTTTGCTTTAATAAAAAAAAGTCTCTATCTTCAATAATGGCGTTTGAGCTTTTTCATTTTATGAAACTCTCGAAAATTCAGAGGTTTCAGTGACAACCGAACTTCGACAATATTTTTTGGTGTAGTTTGTTCTATTTAGACAAGGTATTTGAAGAAACAATCTTAAGTCTTATTTTAGAATATGTTGAAATTGTAAGAGATTGCTTCACATTAACTAGACTACTCTATAAAATTAACACACCTTTTACTTTCTCGTTACGGGGTAGAGAGAAAGTTATGTAATGCTCCGAGAAAAAAACGGTGAATTTTCGGCAAACAACACTTATTACAGGACTCTGGTAACGAAAAAGTTACATAAATTCAGTTGCTAGATTTAGAAAAAATCCTCTAATACGTGGTGTAGCCCAAATCCATGTATTGTGGGTCCTTGATACCCAAAAATAGAAAGTCGACACAACGTCTGCCTGTCCATCCGCCTGTCTCCCCGTCCGTCAGTCCGTCCGCCCGTCCGTCCGTCCGCCCGTCCGTCCGTCCGTCCGTCCGTGCGTCCGTCCGTCCGTCCGTCCGTCCGTGCGTCCGTCCGTCCGTGCGTCCGTCCGTCCGTGCGTCCGTCCGTCCGTCCGTGCGTGCATGCGTCCGTCCGTCCGTGCATCCGTGCGTCAGTCCATTTGTGCGTCCGTCCGTCCGTGCGTCCGTCCGTGCGTCCGTCTGCTCGTCCGTCCGTCTGCCCGTCCGTCCGTCTGCCCGTCCGTCCGTCTGCCCGTCCGTCCGTCTGCCCGTCCGTCCGTCCGTCCGTCCGTCTGCCCGTCCGTCTGCCTGCTCGTCTGTCTAACTGTCCGTTCTGGATAGCCGAGGTCGCTAAGGCTGAAGGGCCATAGCTGTTTTGGCTCTAATGGTCGCGGGTATGAATTCCGCCTCGGGGATGGATGTTTGTGTGTGTACGTATGGACCTTATGTGTTCTTCCTACAGTTAAAACAAAATCACATTGGATTTTATCATCTTCATAATTCTTATATTGTATATTTCCATAATAACAAAAAAAACGAATTGTAAACCTTTTTGAAAGTTCCATCTTAAATGTGGTCTGATAATGCGAGGAAATATGCCATAAATTACTTTTATTTCCTAGCAGTAAAAGGGCTTATTAGGGAACTGTTTCATCATTTTAGATTTCTGTTTTTTTATTTGTTTGCAATACTTGCGATAGTAATTCAGGAAATTATAAAATTATAAGAATAAAACATGTATGTTCCCGCAAAAATGTTTTAAAATTCAGTTGTGTTAAATAAAATATTTCTGCACAAGTTTTGTCTGTATCACTCTTAAAGTTGTGTAACAAATCGTGACAAATTATTACGCGACTCTTGAACGTATACTTTATGGCTCTACAATTGTCTTTAAGTTTAAACGATCAAAGTACAATTATCTCTGAGAGGTTGAGCAATTTTAGAGTCAAGGACTACCATTAATACTTGGCACTGGACATGAAATAGTTGTACTTGAATCACTGTAACATACAATGTAAAAGATTTATAAGCCCAACCTCTCTTTGAATCTTCTCTATTTGAATCGAAGTTCATTTCTTATCACGTTATCGCGCCCTTCGAAGAACGTATTAATAGTTCAATTCTGGGCTCGTAACGACTCTTATCGTCAATCGTAACGTCCCCTCTTTTTGCTGTTGCTTCCGTATAGAACAGGTAGGTAGTAAGTAGGCTCAATAAATCATTTTTAATTGAATGTTATCTTACCTTAACAAGTAATTTTACTGTTGATATAATTTATAATTATTCAATTGTACTATCCGAATTAAATATTTATTACAATTTTCTGATTGGTACAAAAGTACAATTTTAAGAGATACGTTACGTCACTTTCATAATGTATTTTGAGTTCGTCAGAAGAGGTTTCTTTAAATCAAGCAATATTTTTAATTAATAGCTATAAAATTGTTCAGCATTCTAATAAAATGCATGTATTCAAACCATAATATTTATTTGGAATTACGAACCTTATTAATATTCTTGTAAAAATATTTTCTGTAAAATGCAATGAAAAATATTATATTCTGAGAACACTGAAAATAAAGGACTCGGTTATTGTTAGAACTTCGTATATCATCATTACAATCATTTATCTTTACTACGTATGTACATAGTAAGCGAGACACTACAAAATCCGAAACTTTTACTAGACTATTCCAAACGTAAAATTAAACCAAAAGTGTTTAACTATACATACAAGACCCTGATTGGGTCATTTTGTATCTAAAAAAGTTTATCGCTTTTTCTATCTGTTTTATTACCACTTCTACCTACTGCCGAATCATAAACTGTGACTCATCTACCTTAGAAGGCATTATACATCGATCGCTATGTCGATGGCCAATAAACAGCGTATGTACTACAACATGGCCTCCGATTTTAACACAGTTATTTTCAATATTTGGTGCATTTTAGAACTCTGTTGGTCATAATTTTTGTCCGTGGAATAATCCTATTAAATACCACTTCTGCTTTGGAAATTCTCAGATAAATCCCCTCCTCGCTTCGCTCGGGAATTATCGATAATTTCCAAAGCACTCGTGGTATTACTTATCATAATTTAAATTTTTTTTATGAATCTGCTTTACTTTTGCCCTTTGCCCCCGCTTGCGACACTCCCGCCCTTTATAAAAGCAAGAAGTGAAAATAAATTATAGCTCAGTAACAAAATTGTATTCATTTTATTTGTGTTGTGTATTAAAACTTAGTATTTCAACAAATGTTAAAAAAATGTAAATAAAAATTCAATGATACGTCACACTAATAGGGTACCCCCCCTGCCAGTATGTAACGCAGCGTAATGCTGCCGCAAACCCCCCCTCTTTAGTATTACGTAAATTACGGACGACCCCTTAAAAATTCATATCCTTCTAAATGTCATGAATTACATTATCATTACCGGCAAAGGTGGCTCAGGGCATCAACTAATATCACTGCAGTGCTTCGAACCGGGAGGTACTACAGTTTGGTAGGTTTCTCGACACTAGTTTTATACCTAGGTCGAATTCAGCCGCTGTCTGGATGAGATTTTTATAGGCCGGCTGCTCTGATTTGTAGTCCGTGGTTTCTCCGATCAATTCCAGGCGAATGCGGAGCAGTACCCTAACAAACGAGCCACGGACTCGCGCGCGATCTTTCCTTCGTCTCTCTCGTCCTATCCTCACACCTTTTACTTACTTGTACACTTACATACATCACACTACCACATACTGTAATGGAAGCTTAGATCTTGTCCATACTGAAATGGCTGGCAGCTGGTAGGAGAAACCTGGTTGGAGAAAACCCGACGTAGGTCGGCTCCGGATCTCGCCAGTCAGCGGGTGAAGATGACAGCCACCTCCAGCAATAACACACATGCACCACACTTACGGAAATAATGACCTTAGTCATTGACGCGCCCGGAATTATCAATCAATAACTCAAACATTTACTTTGTATACCATTTATTTCTAAAAGCTTTATTATATTGGTCGTATGCAACAATCAGCAAAGGAAGCGTGGGTGACTTTGTGACAGGTAGATGACCAGCTGATTCCACTGATTGTTATGATGAAACCGAAAAATATTTCTGAAATAAGTAGCTGTTATAACGAGATTTGGTTATCATCTAATGATCACATAAATACTCTCTACAGACTGCGCGAAGTCAATTCTCCTGAAAGGGAAGAAGGTGAAAAGCCCAGTGTTAGAGGACGAATCGCAGAATCGGGGGGTAAAATGAAACTAACTTTAGCTTACTCAGTCATCCCGAGAATTCTGATGGGTAAAGTTTTCTTTTTCGGTTTTCTCCATTTGAATTCCTTAACGTCAACATATCAAATTGTGTAAACCATAAATGAGGAACATATATATATGGATTAATTGTGATTCTGGCGGGATCAAATGAATACTTTTCCCGCAAGGGAGAGAGGGGTGGGGAGAGGGGAGATGCAGGCGGTGCGCCTAGCCGCGCGGCCTCACCGGGTGCGTGGCGGTGATGTGCTGCAGCATGTTGTCGACGGTGCGCTTGGGGGTGTCGCACTTGCGGTAGTCGCCCCAGCGCCCCGCCGCCTGCTTGGCCGTCTGCGCCAGCCCGTTGGTGAGGCGGCAGCACAGCGGCTCGTTGCAGTCGGCGTTGGCGCCCTCGTGGTAGTACGGGTCGAAGTGCGTGTCCGACAGGTGCAGCACCTTGAAGGTGGGCGCGCCGGCCTGAGGGCAGAAACACATTTCAATTGCACTACTTTATAACACTCGGCTGAAAACTCGCTTTCGATTACGAACGGAACTTACAATATTACTTTATTTGATTTATTTCACTGTTTTACTTTGTTAAAAAAAACAACTTTCTGTTACCCAAAAATTCTAATACTTTGCATAATTTTAATTAGATTTTACCATTTGTCCCGATCTTCATAATGGTCTGCTTAATTTTTTTTTATTTTCCCCCCTCATTTCCTCTCAACCTGCTATGTTTAGGCCTTCCTCTTTACTTCCTACCCACCTTCCTTCTAAAATTATTTTTGGAAATCTATTTTCTTTCATTCTACTAACATGTCCAAACCATTGTAGTTGTTTATTTTGAATAGTTTCTAAAATTGTAGATACTTTAATAATTTTTTCTCTCATTTTTAAATTTCCTATTTTATCTAATTTTTATGTCTTGGATGACTTTCTTAAAAAGTCCATTTCTGTTGCCAATAATTTTAGATTAAATGTTTTCTTTAATTTCAAAATTTCTCGTCCATATAAAACAGTAGGGGAAACCATTGTACCCACAAACAGGTGTACCTACGAACACGGCTCCTGAAATCTCGGGTAAAATTGGCAAGCGTGTGGTAAGAGGCCAGGAACGCATGATTTGACAGTCAGGCACACGTGTGATCTCAGGTGAATCTAACAAAGAAGTAAAACACATTTCCATTTTTTCATTTTTTTAGTGTACCTACAAACGAGAATCATTTCAAAATTCCATTATCATTTCCATTCCACTTTTGTAGATAGTGTGATGCATAAGTCGAACTCACTTCAGTTTGGTATGAATTTGGTATTTTATTTCTGATTTTTAATCTAGTGCATCCATAGAGCAGAAGTTCCAACAGACGCCAAAAGTCAAAATGACATGCCGTAGTACCTACGAACACAAAGAGCGAAGTACTCATGAACGGGTTTAGAGCTTCCCATCTTCACTTGTCTCGGTAACACCTGAAATGCTGATGCCTTTTCCTAAGGCACCTTCCCGCAAAACGGCCAGGAAAAAAAAGACATCAGAATTCTGACGAATACTCCCGAAAAAAAGAGTTGGAAACTGCTTACGAAATAAAACACACGAAAAAGAAGACATTTCATCAAAGACCTTCAAGCAAAAAAGCAAGTCAGGAGCCAGTCAAAAAAAACAAAAACCAGTCAAATTCATTCTGAATAACCAGACGAAAACTTCTCACTCGAATCACCCAGTGACGAATTTAATTCACTAACGGAAGAAAAAGTACACGCAGAAGTTCTCGCAACTCAGCTTGAAGGGATCGACGTTGATGAACGACGGGCCAAGGGGAAAATCGTCACAAGTCGACGGCGTCTGTAGCGTATCATTATTGTGAATAAACGTATAGTTCCTTTTGTACTGTCCTATTGTCTTATGTACTTCTGTTACATTAGTCAGTTTTCAATGAATACTCTCTTCATCTGTAAAAGCCAAAATATTTTCTTTGGTAAATTTCAGAGAGCCTTTTTGCTCTCTGAAATTACGGACCAATCCTTTGTTCTAAAGAGCACTATAATTCCGACGAGATCATCCTCCTTTCGTTATTGCTTGCGAATTTTCATTGAAATATGATTGGAAATAAGACGGTAAAATCATGAAGGAATATCAAAAGTCAGTTGTTTGCCTCATGAAAATATAAATGGCTTTTAATTTAAAGTAAGAATACATTATTTTTTGTAATACTTTTTCTTATTTACAAGTTGTTTTTCTAAATAATTTTATTTTTTTAATGTTCCGACGTTCTCGTTCAGCGTCCCAACGCCTTGGAACACCGGAATTAAGAAGCGGTGCCTTGACGCCATCGCAACGGCGGACCTCCCTCAACCAGATGACGATGCGCAATCGGGCCGCTTCTATTATAAGACTCTTATCGCAGCGAGACATTTTTCCCTTCGCTCCGAAGGAAGAATAAGTTACGACAATGATATAATCCTTGGTATCAGCGACCCGGAGGAAGAAAGAGCGGCGTAAGAAGCCCATTCATTGATACAAAGGCCCAGCCGCCGGCTGCCATCTGCCCGCCCCCCTCGGCGGGTCGGCGCGGGGTGAGCCCTGATCTTGCTCACAGGCACAGGCAGGCGTGGATTAACATCTAAAGCGGCTCTATGCCAACGAAAGAATGGGCCCCCTAAATGATACTGAAATACCGAATACGGAAATAAATCTAATACTATATCAATTTTTTAAAAAATATTATAAAATAATAAGCAATTTATAAATAGAAAGTAGTTTAAATAATATTTACACACATTTTTGGGGGAATAGTTTTTTAGAATAAAAATTGCATTACTATCTGTGATACTTATACATTTGTATTGTTAATAAATTCATTCATGCATAATGGTTTATTTATTTTAAAATATATAATAAATAATACTCATTTTATGCACGACAACTTTCTTTAATAATTGTTGAGAGTCCTCTATTGTGAGGTGTCTCCAAACATTTGCTTACACTTGGTATGCTTTTGCTTAATACACCGTGTTCACAGACCTCTCTGCAGATAAGTTCATTTTAACTGAAGTGGTGTACTGGACATATCCACATTCCACCTTTAGGTACCTGGGTTCAAATTCCTATCAATTCATGTGGAATTTGTGGTGGTTAGGAGGACTTCGCTGTTGGCTCGGGGTTCTCCCGTTTCTCCTGCTTCTTATTCCACAATTGCTACAATAATCTTTTAAATCGTATCATCCATCCATCAATCCCTTCATATCTGTTATTGCTGAAAAGGCTTAGATATCGGGGATCAAAAGAGAGATCGTTCTAATTCTTGCCTTCAACTTGACTCCTACTAATTCTTCAGCCATCTCTTGAAAACCTCTATCAAACAAAGCGCGGAAGATTCGACAAAAAATCGATTGTTGAAATTTCAAATGTTTTAAATAAAATGGCACTTGTGTCATGTGATTCAATGTATTGTGCTCTATTCTTACAAAAAATGAAGAAAATAATTGACATCCCAGTAGGATTTGCTGCCGAGACGAAGAGAAAGCTGGCTCTGAGCTAACTCAGCCGGTGGGTTACATTGAAGCAATTTTCGATATTTTATATGTTTTGACTTGTGTAATAGGGTCTCCAATTGATCAGATTGACGGAAAATATAAATATTGGTGAAAGCTCTAGAACAGTTCAGGTGCACCTGGGGATACGTAATAAGCAGGCGTACGGACGGTCGGACAGCGTATGAAAAAACAAAACAAACAACAACACTTTTTGGATATCAAGGAAACATAAAAATACATCGTACTTCCGTGAAAACCACGACAGATTTTATCAGCGATACGTACCAACTTTAGAGGAAAGACATACAAGTGTTTTTTTGTATAATATAAAGTTATTTTTCTAACGTATACAATAAGTAAAACATGTATTTCAAATGTTCACCAGAATCAGATTAATTCTTACAAAAACATTGTTTTGCAGCGTTTTCTTTCGGTGCTACGTTTTCGTTCGGTGGTATGAAAGCAAAAGAAATCGGACGAGTTCAGATAGTACTGCCACTTACTAACTTTGTTGAGGCTGGTGATTCTTTCTTCAACATTATAGTGACAACGACTACGCCCTTGATATTTCGAATTTGAATTTTAGAGGCCTAAGTGACAAAAAAACCCCTTCGGATTTATTTACACTTTTTTTCTCGTCTGATCTCGTGTTACTCGTCGGTAACACTTTTCGACTTTAGATTTTTCGACATTGGTCGACACATGTTCGACTAAATTCTTTACACTTTCACCTTACATTCAAGAAAATAAAGAGATAAAAATCGCTGTCATGTATTGTTAACGCCTTCATTTCCATTTCAGTGCCTTTCGTTTCAATATTTGCGCCGCCGTAACTCGAAATGCCATGGGCTGCACAGAGCGGAGCCGTCGTCTGTCCGTTGCGCAACGCCGCTCGGCCCTGCGCTGAATAAATGGTTCGCTTGTGCGCTTATCGCAGCCCCCTGGCTATCGCGCGCCTCCCTGCCACCCCGCGGCGGAAGCTGCGGCGGCGCCGCCGCCGCCGCCGCCGCCGCTTGGAGACAGACGGGGCCGTTGGCTGTTTAAATTTTGTGGTGGATGTGGTGGTGGGGTGATGGCGCGGGTGGGAGGCGAGAGAATGTGAAACGGTGACAGAAAGGTGAGGATTGGAAACGTCATTGGAGAGTAGAACGAGCACATGAATGACATGGTCACGCAAAAGAGGAGGCCAACTGGTATGCGCCCTTCCACGAATTGTCCGATTGAAATATAGTGACGTGGGACATGGCTATCCAATTAGGATCTTCGATACCTAAAATTAAAGTCGATGACGCCGATCTGGCCGGGGGAGACCAGTTCAGAAATGGGGAGGAAGACTAAGATGGGAACCGGAGCAGGTGTGGTGCTGGAGGAGAGAATGAAGAGTGGAACTACGATACGGGCGAAGAAGGGACTGGGGCGAGGATGAAGATGTGTGTTGAAAACCAAATGGGATGGAAACATGAATATGGTTGGGAAAGGGGCTAGCGATTAAGAAGCATGTCTTGCTTACGATTGTTAGCTAGGGATGGCAGCAGCAACGACAGGTAGATCGATGGCAGTGACGATGGGCAGATTGTCTATACACAGCAATGGCTCTGGCGATGGGCACCACAGAAGCATATGAGTGTGATGATATGGTATTAGAGGGAAGATTGCGGCTACACGAAGCAATACGAAGGCAATTTAGATATCGTAAAGGAGGGTTAGGATACTTTGAAACGAGGATATTGTAAGGCTGATTGATGTACTGACCACGAAAAAAGAAACACACGCTACTCGTCGATAGCTGGATCGAATTCTGTCTGGAGGAGAATTCTAGTGGCCGATTGCTCTGATCAGTAGTTTTCCGTGGTTTCTCTGATCAATACCAGTCGAATGCCCTATTAAACAGGCCGCGGGCCGCGCGCGATCTTTCCTTCCCCTTCTTTATATCCTCTCCCCTTGCACACATACACACACATTTACATACACTACGCGTACACACATGCCGCGAGACCGGTTGGGAGCTTAGACCTTGTCCCGGCTAGGTGCCCCGCTAGTGAGAGATACCTGGTTGAGGGTAAACCCCGTATGCCTACAGTAGGTCGGCGCCATCCAGCGGGTAATATCACCGCCCCCCCCGTGCTAAAAGCATGCACGACACTTACGAAACTAATTACCTAGGCAGTTGAATGCGATTCATGTGATGTAATCAATCAAAAAAGGAAACAATAATAATATTAAAAACAATAATGTTAATGCCGATACTAATTATTATAATAAAGGTGATTATTAGAATAATCACAATGACGATGAAGATAAGTAAGCAATTTCAATGAAAACAATAAAAAGAACGAACAGAAGCGCGGGAGGGCAGAGCTGGGCAAGTTGCGGTGACTCGACGAGAGCCCGCCGGGCCGAAGAGGTGAGAGAGTGTAGGAGGTGGCTGCCGAGCCAGAGCCAACGGCCAAAAAGGCTCGAGGTCGCGCGCAGCCGCTCGACGACGACGACGGCGGCGGCGGTTGCCAGCCGCCGCACAGCATCCGAGCGCCGGGCGAGGGGCGGAAGGGGGGGGGGGTCGGGGGGCTTCGCAACGGTCGCCCATTCCGCGAACAGCGAATGCTCTAGTCGCCTCGGTGTGGAGGGCGGGCGGACGGAAGCGGAGCCGAGCGGACGGGGAGCAGGGGCAGGGGCTGGCGGCGGCGCGCGCATTTGGAGGGAGAAAGAGAGAAAATAAAACATTATGCGTGTAATGTGTGGCGAAAATTTGGAGGTCAATGTATTTCTTTCGTTATACAATACATATGAATTACACCCACCTTGCGAAGTAAGATCTAAAAATACAAGAAAATGAAATAACGAATGAGAGAGAGAGAGAGCGAGAGAGAGAGAGCGAGAGAGAGAGAGCGAGAGAGAGAGAGAGCGAGAGAGAGCGAGCGAGAGAGAGAGAGCGAGCGAGAGAGAGAGAGCGAGAGAGAGCGCGAGCGAGAGAGAGAGCGAGCGAGAGCGAGCGAGAGAGAGAGAGCGAGAGAGAGCGAGCGAGAGAGAGAGAGAGCGAGAGAGAGCGAGAGCGAGCGAGCGAGCGAGCGAGAGAGAGAGAGAGAGAGAGAGAGAGAGAGAGAGAGAGAGAAGGAGATGACGGAGTAAGAGACCGGCGAATGAGTGACTGAGCTGACTCATGGTATGCAACTGGACCATGTACAGACGCCACGGCAGACGATGTGAATAGACAATAAAAGTGCTATTTACATTTGAAAGTAGCTAATGTTCTGAAAATAGCATCAAATGTTCTCACAATCAGTCGTAATTGAAATTTTGTTTGTGTGCGAAACAACTGAATGTTCAATATGTTTTTGTTTTCATTATTATTTTTTTATGCATTTCAATATACCAATGTTTTCCTTTTAATTCAATCTCGTGTATTTCGTTACCAGAATCAGATACCGCAACTTTTTACGAGATTTTGCAATTAATATTCGTTTTTTGTTGTGTTCAAATCAATAATTGCAATCCGTTTCGGATTGCACGTTAATGGTTTTGTGCAATTACAGAGCACCTTGCAATGGATAACTACAAAACAAATCTCCGAGAGAGATATTTTTATTGTGCCCTTGAACAGAAAAATATAGAGCCACTGTTTTCCCAATTTACTAATAAGAACTTATATTTCCTCTACACGCTGGTTTTCGTTTGTGAAGTTCCTAAATTTCAAGCAATAATTCCGGCAGTATTCCCCCGTAATCCCCCAGAAATTCATCTTATTTCCCTGTATTTACGACTGAATGACTCTACAGAATCGCAAGGTTTTTGTACAATATTTTGCCTGCCTCCTTGGGGCGTAATATATCATCCCAATTAATTAATTACAATACCCCAAGAAACGTTTAGGACCACACTCTATAGGGCGAAGTCAGATTTTAAAAAATCGACATGTATTTGTTGAAAATGTGAATGCAAAGAATTTCTACAGTCTATTTATGTTCCGTGCGTAACACTATGATGCCCTCGGTGGCTCGTTGATTAGCGTGCTCGCTTTCCATGGCGCAACCTCGGGTTCGATTTCCGGTCGGGGCAAAAAGTAATTTTGCGCTTTCCTTACAATGTCCCAACAACAAGTTACAATGTCCCTGATGATGTGTGATGAGAAAGCTCACTTCTCAGGTTGAGAACAACAGAATCAGCGTAGCGATGGCTATGTGCCGCGCGCGGGGCTGCTGGTAGGCCTTAGCTCGTAAAGGACTGTTGTACCGTACATTGAAGTACATACATAGTGAGTACTTACATAGAACATAATTAACAGTCTATTTATAGCTCTTCATATCTTTTTGAGTAGGTCTAAAACTAGTTTCATTTCTTCAGTTTTGAAATGAAAAATTATAATTAATAACTTTTATAAAAATATATAGTATTTGATGTAGTCTTGTTGAAGTACTTTAATATCTGCATATGTACCACAACCCTATAGTGTTTTACACCCCAAAGCAAATTTTCCAAGAACACTGTAAGGCTTACTAGAACTAACCGGCTTCAAGTTTGTATAACGCTGTTTTTTTTTAGTAGTCTTGACCTCGAGTAATCCACATTGTATTTCATCATTTGAGCCAGACGCTGAAGAAAATAAACGGATTTTTTATCTCTATCAATACATTTCTATGGTACTCCATTTCTCTGCGTCACCTCATTAATTTAATATTTTGCAGTAAATATCACGCAGCTGCCATTAGGTCACGCTTGTTATGACCTCGTGATAGTAGCTACTTAGGATCATTTTTTCTTTAGTTTTGTACAAAAACCGTTGGTGCCCTTTGCCAATCTCAAAAGCTTGCCTGATCTCATTGCACCATGCTAAACATACATTTTACAAGTTTATGGTAAAATGAATGCAAAGTTATAAAAAACTGAATCAACATTCACGAAGTATGTTCTTATTAATTTCATTTATTTATTTATTCATATTCCAACAGAGATGCCAAATAGTGCACTTTTTTATCGGGACTCTGTCTTGGATTGATTTTTTAATTTTTTTAAATTTTATACAAGCTGGTGTCTGAGCATTTATTTATCACAATTTATTAGTTAGGAAAAGGCATGAAGAGCGTTTCAACTTAAGTATATATGCGTTCGATGTTATATGGATTTTTCTTGCACTTTGGTTGTTCCGAATGACCCCTCTTGTCTAACAACGACATTGAGTTCTGTACAGAAACAAATATTTTAAAATATCGTAATTTGAAAAGTGACCCGTTTCGATTGCAGTGTCCTAAGAAAATACGCTATTTTGTATTTTTGCAGATTTAAAAAATATTATAAACAATTGCTATATTTTTTCTTCAATTTTTCGCAAATTTTCTGCTTTCCCTATCTTATTACTTATATTTTTGGAATAACGTATCATATAGCATTTCAATTTACTCACTTGTTTCTTTAAATAAAGAGAACAATTTCTGCAAAATTTCAAATGAATATGGTAGGTAATAGTGAATATAAAAAATAATAAAAATTTAACTATGCTGAGTTTCATTTTCACGCGAAAAAAAGAAGAGTGTGTGAAATTCTTTTAAAATTTGGTTGGAAGTCAATATACTACTGTTTTCCTCACAATTTCATATTTGTGAAGGCCACAAGAGCGCGCGTGGCGCCGCACAGACAAACGCATTGCGTGTCTTCCGAGCAGCCCGTGCGTCACAGCGCTGAGAGCGGGCGATGGGTCAAATCGTTTTTGTTCTGAAATGGCTGAGATGTTATTTTTTTCTTTTGAAACAATTTTGTATTGTCTACGACAAATTACGATGCACACTTTGTCTTATGGTTTCCGTTTTGTCTTGTAGTATCATTATTTGGATTCTGATCGAGAGGTGCCAAACATGCGTCTGGATGCGATACTCCTGCTCTAAACCAATTGTTCTTGTTGGACACAGTAAACCATCTGAAATGCGAAAGCAAAAAGGCAATGGAGAACGCGTCAGAATAAGTTACTCCAACAGCACGTTCAAATGCCGAACGTTTATTTTAACACGTGCGAAAGAGCCCGCGTAGGCAAATGGCCGTGTTTGTTTCGGGGCGGCGGAGGTGAAGACGACTTCGGCCAACAGAAGCGCCAGCCAGTGTGTGTGGGTGCGTGCGTGCTCTTTGTGAGTGGCGACAAAAGAAGCCTGGGGCAGATCACGTGCTCGCCTCCAGCGACAATGACCTCCGGCGGCGGGGAGCGGCGTCTGCAAGGTGAGCCGCAGGCGCCTTATCAGTGCTCACACCGCCTCCGGACGCGACGCGAGGCGACGCGCGGCCCGGGACGCCCGGCCGTGGGAAAAGTATGCGAGGGGCAAGGGCAGGTTGAAGCAACGTCAACCAAGTCTACCATACGTATACAAAATTTTCAAAATTGTAACCAATCCTTCACTTCTTCAAGACAACGGTTACCAAACTTATTTTGGCTCGGAACCCTTTGGAAGACGCTTTTGCC